GGCGGGGGGGGGGGCGGGTGGGGGGGGGGGTATCAACTTAAGTGACCTAATTAACTCCGCCACATTCTTATTGAGACACCAAAAATATATATATTTTTTTAATGTAGATTTCATCAAAAATCTCACCTCTTACTCCAGCCCATCCCGCTCCAGAAAGAGGATGTGACCACACCAGTAGAGAGTTGAGCAAACAGGCTATAAAATCACCGGTCCAGCTTTTTGTGGTCCTCTTTTTTTTCTTCTTTCCCTCGTAAACACAGAACCCACCACTCCTTTTCAAAGACGGCTCCCGGCGCAACAATGGCTTGCAGATGTAAAGCTGTTTCAGCTATTTGAGGTCAATTAGATGTTATGTGCACACTGTAAATGCCGCATGTCTAGACACATAGTTCTGTGCATACGCTACGTAATATCGGCACTACTGTGTCGAGTTAAAAATCAGGCTACTTTAAAGGAACGCTTCAACGTTTGGGGAAACACATGCTTCTTCTCTGAAGAAGATTGATACATGTCTCTCTGAAGGGATTGGCTAAGCCTAGCTTAGCATAAAGACTGGAGGTGGGGCAAAATGCAGAGCAGTATCGGTTTTTTTACACTTCAGTCCGAGACATAACGTGTCAGTTCGTGTGCTTCGGAGGTGCTAGGAGGAGGATTTTAATACTTTGGGTAGAGCCGTTTCCCCCATGCATTTCCAGTCTTATGCTATGCTAAGCTAAGCTAAGCTAATCAACCCCTGGCTATTAACTCCCACAGACATATTCTCGTCTAACTTGGCTGGAAAACTGTCAAACTTTTCTTTTAAGGTAAAGTTTAAATGGATAACAATATTTCAAGTAGCTTGTATTATAAGGAGACTCATCACAGAGGGACAGTATCTATACTAGTGCAGTGCTCGTTCACTGATTGGCTCTTCGGCCCTATTGGCTCTCGGTATTGCTGCACTTTCATAGCTAACCATCTCATTAAAAGGTGTAATTCAGCCAATTACATCATTTCAAATTGAGTGGCAGGCTACAAACGGAAGGTCACCCACAATGTTATTTCATTAAATGCAGCGTTTAAATGATGCATTTGAATATCTAAACAGGCAGAATTTAGGTTAAATGCAACATACCTGCTCCACCCGGATCTCATACTCTCCATTCAGGTTCTTCCCTCGAAAATACTTCGCCCTGCAAAGAAACAGAAGACAAGCCGTCAAGGAATTGACAAAAGAAGTGATATATTTCATACATTGTGTGAGACCAATTTCATTGATAATCTGCAGATGGAGACCATTTGAACTGTATAAATGAGCGTATTGCAGTGATTAGGACCCGTGTGCTTCAACATGTGGACCCTCCGCTGCATGTGCTCCAAAGACCCCGGACAGTCAAAACAACCTTAAAATATCCGTTGTTTATTTGATGGAAGGAGAGCTGAAATCTCAACAGACCTTCCAAAGTACCTTGTGAGCGGGCAAAATAATGACTCACTTTTTCCATAATTACGGAATCTGACCTTGCGGGGCTTCCAGTAAACAGAATCTCTCGGCAAAGAGTAATTCATGAAAGAAGAGTGTTGTGAGGAGAAAGAAATCAAGATGACTTTTTGGTGGCTACATTGAATTGATATTTCTATATTCTGCTTCACACTGGAGCCGTCTGACGATCACATGGCAGTAACACAGGAGTCACCCGGCACAGATGTGTGTGTGTTTTTAAGGCCTGAATCTCTGGACTCCCGGTTACCGGCAGAGTTTAGACTGACTGAGATACATGTGTGGAGACAAAGCTGGGAGTTTGTTTACAGGAAAACCACAGCGGAACATTTGACATTTGGTTCATTGAAGTGCACGTTGCACCATTAAACTTGTTTGTTGGGAGTTTTGCCAGCATGTCATCCCATCAGGGGTGGAGTCAAAAACCAATCCGATTCCAATTCCTGTAACGTCAGCCGGGCACAATAGGGATGCACATCAGGACCGTTAACGAGTACCGATCTGATACCAGTTAGATTAATAAGCTGTATGCCTCATGGTGTGCAAGTGACTGAGATCATTATTTTAAGGCAAAATCAGGCTCGACTGATCACCGACACTCGATCCAGCTATTAGTCGGTATTGGACCGATAACTGATATCAGTGTTGAACGTGTGCAACTCTAGAAAGGAGTCAATAGAAGCCTTCTAGATCCTTACAATGCAACAGGGTTTATGGGAAATGAGGTCTTATTCGGAGAAGCACTTCGACTGAACGTATTCACTCGCTCTTACTTAACCTACATGTTCCTTTGACATCGACTTAAATACTGTAAAATAGAGAGCCTTTTTAGGTTCCGGATTATTGGGCTTTTTGTAGGTTGCAGCCATGCTGCGTCCCAGTGCTCCGTCGGGCTCGGCGGTGAACTCTCACCCCTTGCAGGCGTGGGACATTTAACAATCTGTCGGAGGGCTCCAGGCTGGAGGCCCTTCGGTTACTGGGACAGGCTGTTTGGGATTTGGAGCGCACCAAAAACACTTTATCTTTGCCTCCTCAGACCTCCTCGATGTTTTCCATGTCGCCGTGTCCGTCCTTTTAAGTCCGTTCGTTATCGGTCATTACAGCACATGGAGGGGATCTCGTTCTTAACATCTCCCAGCTGGTTCAGGTCTCTCGCCGTCTCGTTCTCTGTAATTTAGGAAGCCGTGAATCTTCGACTGACCTAAATACTAGGCAGGCAATGCAATGCCCCCCCGGGACCACCGCCCCTGTAAGAGCGTGAGCCAGGACCCCCAGGCCCACCTGCTAAAAATGACTGCTATGCGTTTCAAGGCATCGCAAAACATGTCGTCACGGCCGAGCGATCAATTATTTAATTTATGTGTGTGTGCAAATGTAAACATTCGGCTCCGCAAAGAGGTCTGAGCTCTCGTGCACATGCCGGCTGTATAAACACCGTGGAGCCGAATTCCTTTATTTACCACGAGAATGTATGTTCCTTCTTTTGTGTCCCACTAAATGAAGCTTACGAGTCATGTATGTTGCCAAAACCAGAAGGTTTTTGTTTTTTTACAGTTATCTATGCTTCTATTTGTATCTACTATGCTAAGCTTGGTGTTGTGCTAATACTATTATGTGCACAAAGATTTCCTGTGCTTCCTTCAGCCTGTGAAATAAGAAATTAAAATGACATCCAGCATCTAAATCAGCTAATATTATCAAGCAATAATCAGCCGACAGGATCGTTTTTATAATGAAGGCCTGGAACTGATGGCACAATATACAGTGGGTATATTGTGCGCTTAGGAACCTTGAGTGCTGCAGAAATTCTTGGCCAGATCTGTGCCTTGCCACAATTGTGTCTCTGAGCTCCTTGGGCAGTTCCTTCGTCCTCATGATTCTCATTTGCTCTGACATGCACTGTGAGCTGTAAGGTCTTATATAGACGGGTGTGTGCCTTTCCTAATCAAGTCCAATCAGTTTAATTAAACACAGCTGGACTCCAATGAAGGAGTAGAACCATCTCAAGGAGGATCAGAAGAAATGGACAGCATGTGAGTTAAATATGAGTGTCACAGCAAAGGGTCTGAATACTTATGACCATGTGATATTTCAGTTTTTCTTTTTTAATAAATTTGCAAAGATTTCTACATTTCTGTTTTTTTCTGTCAAGATGGGGTGCTGAGTGTACATTAATGAGAAATAAAATGAACTTTTTTGATTTTAGCAAATGGCTGCAATGAAACAAAGAGTGAAAAATTTAAAGGGGCCTGAATACTTTCCGTACCCACTGTGTGTGTGTGTGTGTGTGTGTGTGTGTGTGTGTGTGTGTGTGTGT